GCAACGGCTTCACAAATGGAGGGCGGGACGTTTTCAAATTGTGGCCCTCGTCTTAGCGCCGCGCGCATTCGCTTAAAGCTTTGCAAGACCTTCACAAGTGGAAGGCGGGTCGTCTTCAGAATGTGGTTATCGCCCCAGCTCCGCGCACACTCGTCGTAAACATTTGCAAAAGCTTCACGGATGGAGGGCTGGTCGTTTGCAAAATGTGGTTTTAATCCCAGCGCCGCGCACATTCGTTTTAAACCGGTGCAAGCAAGAGTCTCACGGATGGAAGGCTGGGTTTTTGCAAAATGTGGGTCTCACCCTGACGCCGCGCACACTCGTCTGAAAAACTTCGCAACAAGTTGCACCGAAGGAGGAGGGGTAAAAAGTGGTTTTCACCTGAACGCCGCGGACATTCGTCCTGACAGCGTGCAAAAGCTTCACGAATGAAATGCTGTTATGTTTTCCAAAACGTGGTCTTCCCCTCAGCGCTGCGTGACAGTTTACAGCAGTTTCAAGGATGATTGCTAATTACGTCCGGGAAACGGTGTGCTGGCACGATTTAGGGTTGCCAGGTTACGACGGTCACGTTGTTTCGTGGTGTTGATTTGCGTAAATGATGTGATGGCACGTTTTAGGAGCTTCAGAACGCAACGGTAACCTCGTTTCGCGGCGTCGAGGTCCCAGGAACCGTGCTGTGGCAAGATTGAAGATTGCCAGGCGGTTGTCGCACAGCGGGGGTCTTCCCGCAATGAAAGTACTTCCTCATAGGGGCGTATGAAGAAAAAATCAAAAGAATTTGCGGGGATGATGTATGGCAGCATCGTTTACGTGCCTTGGTTTTACACTGCTCCGCTTACACATCCTCCTCCTTCTCCTCCGCTTCCTCCTCTTCACCCTCCGCATCCTACTCCTTCATTCACAGCTCCTGCTCGCACACACTCCTCCCCCTCTTCTGCCTCGACCTCACTTCAGTTCAGCATCAGCATCATCACAAGCATCAGCATCATCAGAATCATCAGCATCCGCAGTATCATCAGAATCATCAGTATCAGCATCGTAATCGTAGTCGTCATCGTCAGCATCAGCATCAGCACCAGCATCAGAATTAGCATCCGTATCATCATCATCATCATCATCATCATCATCATCATCAGCAGCAGCAGCAGCAGCAGCAGCAGCAGCATCAGCATCAGCATCAGCATCAGCATCAGCATCAGCAGCAACATCATCATCAGCATCATCGTCACCATCAGCAGCAGCATCAGCAGCAGCATCTTCTCCCTCATATCTCCTTCTTCCATGCCTCCCTCCCTCCCCTCCTTCTCCTCCTCCTCCCTCCCTCCTTCTTTCCGTCTCATCCGTTCTTCCTCCCTCCCTTCCTTCGTTCCTCCCTTCCCTTCCCTTCCTCTGTCCTCCCTTCCTTATCATTCCTTCTCCACCTCTTTCCTCCTCACCCCCCCCTGATCCGCCCCGCATCCGATGCAGGCTGGGGACGGCGGGGGCGCTGCGAGGCCAGTTTGGGGGCTGGTCTGACCGCCCCCTCCTGCCTGTAGCTTGCGTGCTGTCCCACACGCCCTGCCCACTCGGTCCGCCCCTCTGCCCCGCGTCCGTGGCGGGGGGGGGGCCAGGGGGACGGAGGGGGCGGACGCCCCGATGGGAGCCAAAACACACTTGATCCGTCGGCGGCTAGGCAGAGTCACTGCGCTGGCGATGGGGCGTAAAGGGGGTGCATGGAACGCGAATTAAGCCGCAATGCAAGGGGGAGGGAGGAGGAAGCCTGGCGCGGGCAAGAGGGAGGGCTCACTCAGAGGGGGCCGGAGCCGACACACACACACACACACAAACAAAAGGCTCGAACCAGAGGCTCATCCTCCCCCCTCCTCATCCTCCCCCCTCCTCCTCCTACCTCTCCTCCTGCTCCTCCTCCTCCTCCTTGACCTCCACTCCTCCTCCTCCTCCTCCTCCTCCTCCTCCTCCTCCTCCTCCTCCTCCTCCTCCACTTCCTCCTCCTCCTCCTCCTCTCCTCCTCCTCCTCCTCCTCCTCCGCCTCCTCCTCCTCCTCCTCCTCCTCCTCCTCCTCCTCCTCCGTTCCTCCGCCTCCTCCTCTCCTCCTCCTCCTCCTCCTCCTCCTCCTCATCCTCCTCATCTCCTCATCTCCTCCTCTCCTCCTCCTCCTCCTCCTCCTCCTCCTCCTCCTCTTCTTCCTCCCTCCTCCTCCTCTCCTCCTCCTCCTCCTCCTCCTCTCCTCTCTCCTCTCCTCCTCCTCCTCCTCCTCCTCCTCCTCCCTCCTCAGCCTCAGCCTCATCCTCCTCCTCCTCCTCTCCTCCTCCTCCTCCTCCTCCACTCCTCCTCTCCTCTCCTCCTCCTCCTCCTCCTCCTCCTCCTCCTCCTCCTCCTCCTCTCCTCCTCCTCCTCCTCCTCCCTCCTCTCCTCCTCCTCTCCTCCTCCTCTTCCTGCCTCCTCCTCCTCCCTCCTCTCCTCCTCCTCCTCCTCCTCCTCTCCTCCCTCCTCCTCCTCCTCCTCCTCTTCCTCTCCTCCTCCTACTCATCAGCATCATCATCATCTCATCATCATCATCATCATCAGCATCATCATCATCATCATCATCATCATCATCATCATCATCATCATCATCATCATCATCATCATCATCATCATCATCATCATCATCATCATCATCATCATCATCATCATCATCATCATCATCATCATCATCATCATCATCATCATCATCATCATCATCATCATCATCATCATCATCATCATCATCATCATCATCATCATCATCATCATCATCATCATCATCATCATCATCATCATCATCATCATCATCATCATCATCAGAATCAGCATCATCATCATCATCATCATCATCATCATCATCATCATCATCATCATCATCATCATCACCAACATCATCATAATCATCATCATCACCATCATCAGCATCATAGCCAGCATCATCATCATCATCAGAATCATCATCAGCAGCAGCATCTTCATCATCATCATCATCATCACTATCGTCATCATCATCACCATCATTATCATCATCGTCATCACCATTATCGCCATCATCATCATCATCTTCATCATCACCAGCATCATCATCATCATCATCATCATCATCATCATCATCATCATCATCATCATCATCATCATCATCATCTTCCATCCTCCTCCCCCCTCCCCTCCCTCCCCCCCTCCCTCCCACCCTCCCCCTCTCGTACATCCTTCCCTCCTTCTCTCCTCCCTCCCTCCTCCCTGCTCCTCCTCAACCCTCCCTCCTCCCTCCCTCCCTCCCCTCCCTCCCTCCTCCCTCCCTCCTCCCTCCCTCCCTCCTCCCACCCTCTTCCTTTTTCTTGTCTTTCTCCTCCTTCCCCTCCTTATCCTCATCCCCCTCCTCATCCTCATCCACAGTCGGACGACGACAAAGACCACGAAGGTGACGGCGACGGCGACAACAACGGCAACGACGGCAACGAAGACGTCGTCCGCGGAGGTCCGCCGCCTGTACGGGTCCGCGTCGTAGAAGCCTCCAGCGTGGTGCTCCAAGCCAACAGTGCCCCAGAGGGCCTCACCGCGGCGGCGTCATCACCGTCAGGACCGATCACCAGGTGGCTTCGACGTCGTCATCCGCAACAACCGCGTAGCCATCCTCATCACCATCGCGACCGTCATCACAGCCAGCTCAACCGTCGGTCGTTCGCATCACCCGCATAACCATCATCATCGTCATCAACACCACCATCATCAGCAACAACAGCAACAGCACCATCCTCATCAGCAGCCTCATCACCATGACCACCGTCTTCATCACAAACATCAGTAAAACGACGACCGCCATTACAACTACAATAACGATAACAGCCGCAACAAACAGAACGACAACAATACCAACAAAAACACGAACGGCAACAACGACACCAACAGCAACAACAACCACGACGACAACAACAGCAACAAAAGCAACAGCAACAACAACAACCACAACAACAACGACCATCAATTTACCAACATGTGCCATGCCCCCACATGTCACCTGCATCCGTCTGGATATCACACCCCATCATGGGAGATGTATCTAGCACGCGGGGCCCGATATTCCCTGGCCCGGATCTTCCGCGCGAGAAAGTTTTGCCGCCACCTCTTCCGAGGAACTGCGACATCCACAGCCCGTCGCAATCACCCTGCGCACGCCCCGCATCCCGGAGGAGGAGGAAGAGGACGAGGAGGGGAGGGAAGATGAGGGAGAGGAAGGAGGGAGAGGAAAGAGGGAGAGGAGGAGGAGCATGGAGAAGAGGAGGAAGGGGAGGAAGGAGGAACAGTTGTAGTAGCAGTATTTACGAGGAGGAGGTGGTTCTTATTCCTCGTTCGAACTATTACGCCACCGTCCTGCGGCCTCGGCGCGCGTGGCCCTGAACGTTCACGCCCCAGGGCGCTGCCGCTCCCATGCTCGCACCCTCCACCTGCCCCTTCCACGCCCTCTCAGGGAATCCCTGAAGTCAACCCCATCGACCCTCGATCCTTGGCGCCCCTGGAAGTCGTCCGCCCTCCTTCTCCTCCTCCTCCACAGCATCGATGCTCTCCAAAAATGATAGTTATTGTGTACCGAAGGTTCAACAGGGATTCTTGAGAGGCGACGCCGAAACGAGGCCCCAGTCTTGAGTACAAAGTGAGGGAAATATCAAACAGGAGCGACGAGGGAGGACGGAAGGGGGAACGGAGGCGGAGGGAGGAGGGAGGCAGGAGGAGGGAGGAGACAAGGGGGACGAAAAGGGAAAGGAGGAGGGAGGAGGAGGGAGGAGGGAGGAAAGAGGGACGGGAAAGGGAGGAGGAGGGAGAAGAGGAGGGGATGGAGGGAGGAAGAGGGAGGAAGAGAGAGGGCAAGGGAGGGAGGAAGAGAGAGGGGGAAGGAGGAGGCAGAGGAGGAGTAAGAGGAGGAGGAGCAGGAGAAGAAAGGAGGAAGGAGGAGGAGGAGGAGGGATCAGGATCAGGATCAGGCCCGCGGGAGTTCGTCTGCTGCTGTTTACCGACTGCCAGGCAAACTACCTAACAAAGTGTGCAGGGTGAGCGAACTCTGGGGGGAAAACCTATGGCCGCCTACCTTCTAGTACGGCCTGTGGCTCTCGACGCACGCCGCACCGCCCCTACGAGCACCCCCGAATACAGCACGCAGCCTGACGAGGGGCCCGCGCTGGGGACCACAACACCCTGCGAGATGGTTAAGAAATCATGGGTTAAGAAATTCATAGTCTCAGAACTTGAATAAAAACCCCCGCATTTCTATTCAAATCTTAGGATCTACATTGAAACATTAAGAATCATCGAGACTCTGGTCGAAAACTCGAGTTTTCTTAAGCATCGCCTAAGGTGTACACATTGCTACCGGCCCTTGCCTTTTCCGTTGCCCTTCCCTTTCCTGCCTTTCCCTTGACGCAGACTCTCCCTCTGAATGGTGGGGAGATTCGCAACTTCGGGGCTGTAGGCTGAGGGAACTGGGGGGCTCGGGTCCAAAACATCAGAACTCAAAATTCCCCGCGCTATCAGCTCGGAAAGCCTTGCACTATCACGCATATGTTCTAAAAAGTTCCGTCGAACAGGGTTCTCCTGTCCTCCTTTACTACTGCTGGGCTGAGAAGGCCTACACGCGCTCTCACTCTGCGCAGTCAGACTGTTGCCGTCTCCCCTCTCCCTCCTCCTCACGCTGCTGTCGACTTCAACTATGCTAACAACTTGTTCGCATCTCTCTCCAGCGGCTCCCTGAGGGCTGGTCCGATATTGCGCTCTGCCTTGAGACTCACGAGCATCTTCTCTACTCCCGTCTCTAACTGGAGACCGAACGGACTGGACGTGTCGATTGCGCATATGACCCTGCCCCTGTTCTGCTCCGACTCCGACTGCTTGCCTTTGTTGCGTTTCCATTGCCAGTGTAGGACCACGCTGCCCATCTCCGTCATACCCATGGTACTGATCTTGTCCGTCCACATCGTCTTGAATGGTTGCAAAAACTCTGGAGCTCCTTGTTTGTCTGCCTCTTTCGCCGCCCACCACATTGAAGCCATGAAAATCTGTATAAATGGCGCTCCGCGCGCCGTCCAGTTGACCTGCTCGCCTGATGTCTGTTTTTCTTTTAGACTTTGTGATACGGCGGTGTACTGATGCCCCGACTCCTCCATAGCGATAGCCAGCCCCGTTCCTCCGTCGATATCGTACGTTCAATACACCGTTGCCGTGAGTTCGGCTAGTTGCCTGCTGTCCAAAAGTACCAACTTTGCGAGGATGACGACGAGCTGAGCCAAATTGGAGCCTGCGAGCTTGGCGATATCCGCCCTCTCGCCTGTTCTGCGCTGCTTTAGGGCTTTGCCTTCTGATGATGGGGCCTGCATCCACTCTGGTACTTTCAGCGTCGTCTCCTGCTCTGGCATCTCTGTCACAATCGAACTGGGGCGGTAAAGTGGGCATCTTTACCCAACTTAAGCCCAACAGGGCCAATATCATCAGGTTGTACTGGTCGTAGACTCGGGGTCCATAGTAGCGGACCCAAGGATATGGCAGCCGGAAAGTAAGGTTCGGATGTTCGTTAAGCAACATGGAAAGGAAAGATGGAATAAGAGAGCAGCTGCTTCACTAGGAGGACCTTTCCCGCAAAAAAAACTGCGAGTCCAAGGGGGGCACTCCAATTTAAAAAGACACAGCGGGTACCGGAGGGGGGATCAACAATAATCAAAGTGAACGTTCTCCGATACCAAAACGATATACGCTTCCACATGCAATATGCATACATCATGATAGTTCTCTATTTCATGGTGGAATCCTTTCATGCCTAGGAGCAATTATACTCTTACCCAGATCTCCCAGCCGGAATTGTTTCGCGAACACCGCTTATGATGCACTGTACAATGGCCATCAAACATCGTTGATCGAAGATCGGGGTCCGGGTCTGGGCAACCACGTTGACGACAACGACGACGACGGCCAGTACCGTGCGCAAGCCACCCGAAGCCACCCGAGGCCTCACAAAGGCCAACCCGCACCGACGTTTGCGAACCCGAATACCTCCTGAAATTCAGAAAGATAGACAGATGTCCAAAAACCTCCCAATCCCTCAACACCGATCCTCGGTGCCCGATCCACCGCAGTCGTGAACGCTGGCCCTCGACCTGGCTCTCCTGAGCGGCCGCGGGGGTGCGAGCGGGGGCCGAGGTGCCCGCGGGCGTGCGCGCGACGAGTCGAAGCACGGAGCCGGTCCGACTTGGCGACCTGCTCCTCCGGGGGCCCCTTGAGGCGCCGAGACAGCGCCAGCCCATAGCAACAGGCGATGAAGTACAGTCAGTCCGTATGGTAAGGACGCAGGATAAGGATGCAAGGGCCTTGGAAGGCCACGTCGACACCTTGCGATCGGGGCGCGGCCAGCGAAAGCGGCCAAGGATGGGCCGAAGGGGAAGGATGCAAGGGTAACCTTGGAAACTTGGTCATCCTTACTATGTGAGTTGACGGTATCGAGCGGGAGCCCTGGTTTTGTTGAAGTTGGAGGGTCGGTTCTCGGCGGCGACCAAGAGCACCGAGGAAGTCCCGAGCTGGAGCCTTGTTATTACTTGGGGGCTGGCTTCGGCGGTGGGAGAAACGCTCTAAAGTGAGCCTCGCTCTCAGAGCGCACGCAGCCAGCGCCGAGGCGAGAGCGCCAGAGCGAATTGCTGAATAATTCTAACATTGATCAACATCACCGCCGCCATCATCACCACCACCACCAACAACATCCCCCCTGTGCATCTCCCCGCCCCTCCCTATGGGTGCGCCTCGGCGGGGTGGCCGCCGAACGGCGGCGGGGCTCCCCAACCTTGGAGCGGCCAGAACTGGCGAGGTCCGCCCCCGCCCCCCGCTGGGGAGGAAGGGTGAGGGCAGGGGGGGAGACAAAAGGGAGGGGAACTGGGAGGAAGAGGATGGAAAGGGGAAGAAGAGGGGTAGAAGGAGGGGAGGGTGGAGAGTTGGAGTCAACGGTTTGGTGTTTAGCGCGATGGTGGTAATTGCTGCATGCTTGCGCAATTAGAGATGAAGTAAACGGGCCCAACCACCGTTTCGTAATATACATGGTGGTTGGTGGCCAGTTGCGCGGGCGGTCCACGCAGGACCCCCGCCCCGCTAACCAACTTTTAGAACTGCGGGCTCATATTGTGTTTACCCAAACTGTTCTTGCACACTGGTTCAACCACCAACGCCCTCTGGAGACCTCTGGAGTCTCCTGAGGCCTTAGGGGACTTCTGAAAACCTCAGGGGGAAAATGGAGGGAGAGGAGGAGGAGGAGCCGAAGCAGGAGGACGAGGAGGAGCAAGGAGGGAGGAGGGAGGAGGCGGGAGGCAGGAGGGAGGAGGGAGGAGGGAGGAGGGAGTAGGAAAGAGAAGGGAGGAGGGAGGGAGGAGGCAGGAGGCAGGAGGGAGGAGGAGGAGGGAGGAGGGAGGAGGGAGGAGGAGGGAGGAGGGAGGAGGGAGGAGGAGGAGGGAGGAGGGAGGAGGGAGGGAGGAGGCAGGAGGGAGGAGGGAGGAGGAGGAGGGAGGAGGGAGGAGGAGGAGGGAGGAGGAGGAGGGGGAGGAGGGGGGGGAGGAGGAGGAGCAGCAGGAGGAGGAGGAGGAGCAGCAGGAGGAGGAGCAGGAGGAGGAGGAGGAGGAAGAGCAGGAGGAGGAGGGAGGAGGGATGAGGGAGGAGGGAGGAAGAGGAGGGAGGAGGGAGGAAGAGGAGGAGCGGCAGGAGGAGCAGCAACAGGAGGCGGGCGGAGGGGAGGAGGAAGGATGTATATAGGCAGGAGGAGGGAGGGGGAACGAGGACAGAGGATCTAGGTTACCTCACTTCCCGCATCGCGCCCCGCGCATCGCCGACGCAAGTTCGGCTTCGCGCTCTCACGCCGCCGCCTGGAGAAGACCAACTAGGCGGCCCCGGCCGCGACGCGCGAAGCGTGAATATCTTCGCGCACCTCGAGGTGACAGCAATGGAAAAACTTCAAGGGAGCCCTAGACCCCGTTGTTCTACCAAAAAACACGACGCGGGCCATGGACTCCACCTTTCTGCAGGTACTTCTCGAGCTAGATCGATCTGCGAGGGCCGCACGGCCCGAAACAGGGCGAAAACGCCCAGGGTGACAAAAAATGCGACGCTGGGATCTCAGGGGGCCTACCCGAGCACCCTATATTTCCCACACTGGGCGCTTTCGCCCAGCTTCGGGCCCCATGGGGCCCTCGCAGGCCGGTCCATCCCGAGAAGCAGCGCAGGACGGTGGAGTCGAAGGCCGCGGTCCTGACTGTTCACAGTTTTGCGTCTTTCTTCTGACGTCGGTCAGATCTCAGGAGAGTTGGGAGAGGCAATGTCCAGTTGGAATCCTAGCAGATAGAGCGCCTCGGCTCCAACTGGACTCGACCCACCTGAACTCAGCGTCGCCCAAGAGGAGGCTAAGTCCTGTTGGTGGCCCGCCAGATGGGCACCTTGGCTACCACTGGACTTACGACTCAGCGTCGATAAGACCAAGGGCTCTGGCAGAGTCAGGCGGGAATGGGATTGAAGGTCCAACTACGGTGCGGCGACGCACTATGCGGTGATCTCGAAATCCAACCAGACTTCGCCGCACGGTCTGTCACCGCACGGTTGTGGAGACTTGGAAGCCCCAGCATCCCGAGACACCCTCGGAGGACGACCCAAGTCCCCAAACCGTGCGGTCACCCCAAATCTCTGTTGACTCACCCGACGGTGCGACCCGCCCTGGGGACTTTTGGCCGACCCCTGGCAGCCGCCCCCGAAGCAGGGCGACAGGGCGGCGGGCGCCTCTGGCAGACAGCGACTCCGACGACTCCGATGGCGGCGATGGCGGCGACGACGACGACGACGACGACGACGACGACGACGACGACGACGACGACGACGACGACGACGACGACGACGACGGCGGCGGCGGCGGCGGCGACGACGACGACGACTCCGACTCCGCCGACGACGACTCCGCCGACGCCGACGCCGACGCCGACGCCGACGCCGACGCCGACGACGACGACGACGACTCCGACTCCGACTCCGACTCCGACTCCGACGACTGCGACGGCGGCGGCGGCGGGCACGACGACGACGACGACGAGACGACGACGACGACGACGACGACGACGACGACGACGACGACGACAACGCCGCCGCCGCCGCCGCCGGCAGACGGCACACGGCGGCGGCGGCAGACGGCCCACGGCAGACGGCAGCAGGCGGCGGCGGCGGCGGCGGTGGGCGCGACGGCACACGGCGGCGACGGAAGACGACAGTGACAGTGACGGCAGTGACGGCGGCGAACGGCGGCGACGACAGACAGCGGCGGCGACAGACGGCGCCGACGTCGCCCGCGTGAGCCACCCAGGCTGCGGCGGATGGGCGTGCAGGCCGGGCGGCGGGGGCCCGGGGGCGCCGAAGTCGGGCGGCCAGGGGCCCCAGCACATGTCCTGGCCGTAGGCGTCGTACCTTCGGTAGGAGGCGCACGTCCGAATCGAGCACATGCAGCACAAGACACCTTGCGGCACATCGTTACCTAGGCAGTTTGACCAGAAAGCGCTCGCCACTGGGCATACGCCATAAGATTTATGAGCGCGCGCGTCGACCCTGGGAGGGGGGCGACGCAGACATAGTACAAGTCGGTCTGAATGATGCCGATCCAAGGCCAGGGCGAGGAGGGGATCAAGAGAAGAGAAAGGCAAGATGATGAATTCGGATCGAGGGGGCTCCCTGAATCCTGGTGGATCTGTGGGGAATCTCCAGCGAATCCCAGGGCTCTCTGATTGGCGGATGTGTCGGGCGCCGCGGCCGTCCCAGAGCGCCCTGAGAGAGCTCCGGCACGCTCTGGAGCGATGTGCTTTTATCCTGGGCCTGCCTGAGGGCCAAGGTCAAGGCTTTTGTGTTTCTGATCCTGCCTCCCGAGACCTCCACAGAGCTGCGGGGACCTCTGGAGACCTATGGAAACCTGCGGCAGAGGAAGGAGGAGGACTTGGACGTCGTTCGTCCTCTTCGGATCTCCTGGAGAGTCCTCGTGGCCACAGCTGGGCGCAGCCCGAAAGCCTGGCCAGGATGGGCCTCGTGAGGGCTCGGGGGACCAGCTTTGGGCGGACGTTGCTCGGGGTTGGGGTTGGGGGGCGGGGGGGGCGGCCCAGCGGCACGGGCTCATGGCCATGGCGGCGCCGAAGTCGCTCTCCGCCTCCGGCGGCAGACGGCGACGGCGACGCCGACGGCGAGTCCGACTCCGACTCCGACTCCGACTCCGACTCCGCTGGCGACGACGACGACGACGACGACGACGACGACGACGACGACGACTCAACGACGACGACGACGACGACGACGACGACGACGACGACGACTCAAGCTCCAATTCCAACTCCCACGACGAAGACGACGACGACAGACCCAAATCTCCGGCGTCGTGAAATTTTCGGAACGTGGGCCCACAGAGGCCTGGACCCCTTCCTCAGGATCTGGTCGTTCATCCCGAGCAGCTTCTTCACGGCCCGAGAGCACGGCGAGGATCCCTGGAGGCCGAAAAACTGACGAACAAAAATCCAGTCGTGATTTTTTTTCAAAACGACAAGGGGTCTCAGGACGGGGAACGCCGGGGGGGGAACGGGCTCGGGGAGGAGGGGGAGGGGAAACATCGAGCTGGACTCGGCGACACATCGCCGATAGGTCGACGATAGGCCTCCCGATGGCAAATCCGCGAGCTCCTGTCGGCGATGAATGGGCGATGGGGGGTCGATGCATCGCCCGCTGAGCCTGCCCCCCCCTACGTTGCCCCTGAGAGAGGAGGTCCGGGGACGGCAGACCACCGACGACACGCAGCGGCGGCGGCGGGCGGCTCCGCGGCGGGCGGCTCGCGGCGTGCGGTTCGCGGCGCGCGGTGGCGGCCGGGCGTCTGCGGCTGGCTCCGCGCTGCCCGCCTTCCACCGCCCATCCTCGGCTGCCACATCCTCGGCTGGACGAGAATTGGCCCGAGCGTCGTTGGCCGATCCCTACCCCCCTGGCGTGGCCTTGGCCCCACTGGCCGACTTACGCACCCAGGTCGGGATACATGCCTGTTCCTTCGGGCTTCGCGGAGCCTATCCCCACCTGGGAGGATGGGCTGATGGGGCTGGGCAATTACCATGGCCTATAGGGATGGGGAGAGGTTAGACAACGCTGATGGCCAGAATCAGTCGGCATCGGATCGGAAAACCGTATGATCGGATCGGAACGCCCGATGTCGAGTGAACCGGCGCAGAACTCCGAAATCGACGTGTCCAGGATCAGTCAGCATCGGATCGGGAAATCTGATCGAGTCAGAACGTGCGTCGGATCGGGCAGCATCTGCACAAAGTCGGAATCGAATCGGATCGGCCGCGCCAGGGTGCACGACAGTGCCGTGCAAGCATCGGGTCGCACCAAATCGAATCGCTGGAGCATCGGAACCGAATCGGATCGACCCAACCGCAGCCGACATCGAACCAGGTCGACCGGATCGAAACGGACCCTAGAATTGGCACGCCTGGAATGATATCCAACAGCAGCAAGAGCTGTGCAAAGCCGACAGCGGACGCTGTTGGGCAGGCGACTCCGTGTCTTAAGTGCACTGCGCCGTCTTCGTCGTCTGCGCAGTCGAACGTCCCGTCGCCGCTGTCGCCGCCCGCCGCCCGCCGCCGCCTTCCGCCGCCGCCCTTCGGCCCACCGAGGCTCCTCCGGAAACGCCCGCGCCCCGCCCAGGCCGGGCGGGGGCCTGTCGTCCTCGTCCTCGCGCAGGGCGGGGCCGGCCGCCTCCGGCGGCCGCGCTGGCGTCGGGGCCGAGGCGTGGCGCTTGAGCTCAACGAACGGCGGGGCCGCCTGCAGAGAGGTGCCTGCGGGCGGCCGCTGGACCCCCCTGTTGCCGAGAGGGAACAGAGGGTCGTCGTCGCCACGGGTGGATTCTCCTCGAGATTCTGGTCCGAACGCACCACGGGAGGTCTGGGCAGTATCGGTATCTTTTCGTTCCCAAGATCTCCGACGGTCTGGTTTTTTGCAGTCCGAGCGGTTTCCTGGTTTTCGGCCCCCTGAGGCCAGTGACCTGACCCTGGGGCCACCAAAGAAGGATCTGGGACGAAAAACTGGCCCCGGGACCTCTGCGGCCGCGAACTGACAAAGATCACTTCGGCGGATGTCAGGGTACGTTTCCAGGCCTCCAAGGTAGCGAAAAAGCCAGACAAAGGTTTTTCGTTGTTTTCAACGTCTGGGGTCATCGGCCCCAGGACCGTCAAAAGACTAGCCGGGACGAAACCCTGGTCCCCCGGAAGTGGTCCTGAGCTCTTGGGAGCCCGTATTGAAAAATCGAGACGTCGGAGGTCTGGGTCGTATTCGACCATGGGCCCCTTGTTACCTAGGCCACTATGGCGCCCCGCGTTGCGCAACGTGCGATCAGTTTCGCGCCCTTGCACCCTCGCGCTGTCCTCTTGGAGAAGGGCCGCGCCGCTCTGGCACCGACCGCGACGCGCGAAGAGCGCGTATGTTCGCGCCCCCGCGGGTGCCTGAAGTTACCCATCGGCCTTGGGAGGTCGTCGGCGATCTTCTGGCGGTCTTCTGGCGGTCTTCGGCGGTTTCCGCCGGTGTTCGGTGCTTTTCAGCGGTCTGCGGCAAAAGAGCTGGAAGGCTGCGTTCAACAGAAGGTCCATGATCGAACAACCAAAACACCTGCCCTGGCCCTGGCTGGGCCCCGTCATGAGGCCCAGGATCGGTGCATACCCATATCTGTCGGCCTCTGCGGCCCTTTCTCGGGCCCAAGGGCCACCAAAATGGATCGGGAACGGAAACCTGCCATCAGGGAATGGGTCGACACCTCTGGGGGCGCGCAGCGAAAAATCAAACAAAACGAGAAACAACAAGAAACTGAAGTCTGGGCGTGCGCCTTCCAGGCCCAGCCGGGAAGGCGTGCACGCTGGTCCTGGGCCCCTGGCGTGGCGCCTGGCCAGAGTCGGTGCAATATAGCCGCCGGCCCCCCTGTGGGGCCACCGGGCTGTAGGACCAGGGTTTGATGTTCCCTGCACCAGTTCAGGTTTGCAGTTTCCACTGTTACTGTATTGCTTTATGCTGCTTACTGTTCCTTGTTGTAGACCGCGCGAGGGGGAGGGAGCCGAAAAGCACCCTGGTTAGCACCTCCTGGGAGGGTTCTCAAAATTTATGAAGGGGGGTCGAAATTAACACCCCTCACGCAGATCGGCGGGGTCACGGTCGAAAAATATACGGGATTTGCCACATTTCTGACATTCGGCGGCACCACTCACGCAGATCGGCGGGGTCAGGGTCGAAAAGTCGATGGGATTTGCTACATTTCTGAAATTCGGCGGCACCCCTCACTCAGATCGGCGGGGTCAGGGTCGAAAAACCCATGGGATGTGCCACATTCCTGAAATTCGGCGGCACCCCTCACGCAGATCGGCGGAGTCACGGTCGAAAAACAAGTTGGATTTGCCATATTTCTCACGTTCGGCGGCACCCCTCCACAGATCAGCGGAGTTCAGGGTCGAAAAACACATAGGATTTGCCAGACAGAGACAGAGTGGAGCCGCGCCGCACGGCGCATCGGCTAAACAGCACGGGATTGAACTCAGCAGTTCTGATACATAAACTCTCAGAAGACGTATGGCATGGCATGGATGGCATGGCGGTCTGCGCGCCAACTCTGGCAAGGGGAGCGGTCCCCTAGAGGGCAGACCGTGCGTTGAGCAAGTCGGAGAATTAATGAATCAGCACGCACACGCGGGGAAATGCGGTTAATTCGCCGGCCCAACGGGCCAGAGGCGTGCTAAGATCTCCGGTGACTGCTTTACAATCTTTCTACTTCGCGCGCGCGGGGCGGCCCCTGGGGGCCCCCGGGCGGAAAGTACCCCGGCAAGGTCCCGAGAGAGTCCCGGGAGGAGTCACCAGGGCGCTCCAGCAGCGCACCAACGCGGCTCCGAGACGTCCCCGAGAGCCCCAAGAAGGGCCAAGAGGCTTCCAAGAGGCCCCCAAGATGCTACATGAGGGGTCCGAGATGCCACAAGATCGCTCCAAGACGCCCACGATGGCCCCCAGACGCCCCAAGAGGCCTCCAAGAGCACTCCCGAGAGGGCCCCAAGAGGCAAAATTCACTGCTTTTCCTTAGGTTTTGGAGAGATTTTGGCGTTTCCACCTTTTCGGCTTCACGACACCCCAAGACGGCCCAAGAGGCCCCCAAGACCGCCCCAAGAGGGCCCAAGAGGCCCCCAAGAGGGCCCCAAGACGGCCCAAGAGGGCTCCAAGACGGCCCAAGAGGCCTCCAAGACGGCCCAAGAGGGCCCCAAGAACGCCCCAAGAGGGACCCCAGGGGGGGAACACGAAACAATATTTCGAGCCCTCGGCCCTCAGAAGTCCCCAGGAGGCCCCAAGAGGCCCCTAAGAGGCCCCAAGAGGCCCCCAACAGGCCCTCAGGAGGCCCCCAAGAGGCCCCCAAGCGGCCCCAGGAGGCCACCCAAATGCCCCCCCGAGCACGCAAGCAAGTGCCAGCGACGCTACACTATGGGCCGGCGGAATGAGCGAAGCGATTCAATAAATCCTCTGGTGTGCAAGTCTTAAGTCAAAGAGACCCTGTCGGCTAAAAAGGGCAGGAGGAGGAGGAGGAGGAGGAGGAGGAGGAGGAGGAGGAGGAGGAGGAGGAGGAGGAGGAGGAGGAGGAGGAGGAGGAGAGGGGGGAGGGCAGCCAGCAGCAGGCCGTGGGCACATCGAATCTCAGAAAACGTACGTCTGGGCAATGCTTCTCCACCGAGCTCTACTGTGGACAGGGACGAGCTCAGCATGCACAGATGTGCCAGAGGCCGAACATGCTTGCGATGCGTGCTCGTGCATTACCCGTACCCATGTCAATCTGGGACGACCTCTTGCACGTCTTCCGTGCAAGACGGGCGGGTCTGAAATTCGGCGGCGCCCCTCACGCAGATCCGCGGGGTCAGAGTCGAAAAACCCATGGGATTTGCCACATTTCTGAAATTCGGCGGCACCCCTCACGCAGATCAGAAGGGTCAGGGTCGAAAAACCCATGCGATTTGCCACATGTCCGAAATTATGTGGGAAATCTCAGTGCCCAGCATATGGGGACAGGTTCAAAATGCAACACTGAGTTCAACAATATCATCAGAATCTCAATTTCTCTTGCCGATGCTGCTTCACGGCGGCGCCGAGGCCTCATGATTTAGCTCTTAGCCCATTATCCGAGAGAGGGGGTCAGCGGCAGGGGGCGAAGCCATTACGTATGTGTGTAGATCTGTACATATACACACACACACACACACATACATACATGCATGCATACATACCTACCTACCTACCGACCGACCGGCCTACCTACCTACCTGCATACATACATACATACATATAAATGTAAAGAAATGTGCACACACACACACACACACACACACACGCACGCACGCACAAACACACATGCACACACACACACACGCACACACGCACACACGCACACACAGACACAAAACACACATATATACACTAAAACCACGCGCGCGTTTCGCGCGAGCTTAGGTTCTAGCAAGCTCTACTTGTAGTCCAAAGCGGTCGGTGCTGGAAGACATAGATTGTCGCACGGGTTGTGCCCCTCAGGGAGGTCCACCCGCGGCCCCACACAGGCTTGTCTAGCGTTCCCCCGCCTTTGTTGGCACACCCCATCACAGGGATCGCGCCACACAGGGAGCTCCACCGGCGTCCCCAGACAAGGTTCGCAAAGTGGCACGCCCCTCGCGCGGTTGGCGCCCCGCAAATAGCTGCATCTGCGGCACCAGAGTGAAGCTTCATAGCGTCGCCCCGCTCACTTCGGCACGCCTCACACGGATCGTGGCCCGCAAAGAGATCCACGGACGGCCCCGGAAACAAGGTTCGCATCCCGCCCTCCCGTCTACTTCGGCACGCCTCTCACACGGATCGCGGCCCACAGGGATCTCTAGCTACGGCCCCAAACGCAAGCGCGGACCGTGCCCACAAGGAGTGCCCAAGGTTCGTACAGAGCTCCCCCGCCCATGTCGGCAGACCCGTCACACGAATCATGCCCCACAAGAAAATCAATGCATAGCACCAATAGGCAACTTCGCAAGGCGTACCCCCCCCCCATTTCGGAACATGCCTCGCTTGGGTCGTGCCTGGAGGAGGTCCACCTGTGGCCTCAATAGGGGCGTTCGCGGAGGGGTATCCGAGTCATTCGGCACACCCTTCACGCGGATCGTGCCCTACAAAGAACTCAGGAATTCAGGGCACCCGTGCACCCGTGCTCCGCAGCAGCCATCATTCCGAATTGCCCCGCGGCGCGCAGTGCATGAAGAGAGACCCGCGCCCTGCGCTGCACATGGCTGCATAGAGATTGGTCCGTCACAAAACCTGTCGCTTGCTTATCTATGGCCATCGACCCATCCGCTACTGTACCTGAGTTCTGGGGCAAAGGATCCTTGGCTACTAATAACTTGGGGTCTCTTGGCATACTCCTCGGGCGCCTCGTGGAGCGAGTGTTGAAGCCTCTTGTGGCCACGTGTGGGCCATGTGGGGGCTTCTTGGGGTATGTGTTGGTGGCCTTGGGGGCCTCTTGGATGCCTGCTGCAGCCTCGGGAGCCCACTCATGACGGAGGGCTCGACATGTCAGTTGGAGTTCCCCCTCTTGGACTCCTCTTGGGGCCCTCTTAGGCCGTTATGGGCGCCTCTTGGACCGTCTCGGGGCTCTGTTGGGCCGTCCTGGGGCTCTCTTGGAGGCCTCTCGGTTTTCCTCCTCCTTCATCCTCCTCATCACCACGAACATTCACTGGGTGGTGCGATTCGGCCTCAGACAGATCCACTGAAGTAGTGACCCACACACGGTATTAATTGGAAATACGAAAGTACCAACTTCGCAGATCGAGCCGAGACACGCGGCCCCAGAGGAAGGCAGGGTTCACAAAGCGTCTTTCCAACCAATCTGGGCACGGCCCTCACGGATCACACATACACATACACACTCGTAAGCCCGACGTTCGGGTCCAGGGACAAAGTTTGCATGGCGCCCCCCCCCCGCCCCGCCCCGCCCCCGTATCGGCACACCCTTCACACAGATCGTGCCCCAAAGGAATGTAGTTTCACGTGCGGCCATGTGGGGGGAGTTGCATAATGTCACGTCCCCCTGTGTATGCTGACTGTCTCCTCACACGGGTCGCACCCCACTGTGAACTTCACCGACAGCCCCTAAGCTAAGGTTCGCATCCCGCCGCCCAGCTCTTGTCGGCACACCCTGGATCGAGAGGCAGGGGCGTCTTGGGTGCCTCTCGTCGCGCGGGCTGCGCCGGCGCTGGGTCGTGGTTGCCCCTCTCCATCTTCCTCCTCCTCCTCCTTCTAATCCTCCTCCTCCTCCTCCACCTCCTCCTCCACCTCCTCCTCCTGGTCCTCCCACTCCTCCTCTTCCCCCGTCCCTCATTTGTCTCCTGCCTCCGACGACTTGAGATTTCCTAGTCTCAGGCTTCCCCCGTGGGGACGACGACGACGACGACGACGACGACGACGCCGACGAGGGTGACGACGACGATGACAAGGTGGAGGAGGAGGAGTATGTAAAGTTCCATGTTAGGGGTATATTTGGGATGTTGTAGCGTGTTGAGATCCTTTGGATTCCATACTAATTTTCTGGGGCCCTCTTCGGTTTTCCTTGGGCCGTCCAGGAAGTGTCGTTGGACAGCTCGGTACTGTCGTGGCTATCGCGAAGTGAGTGTGTGGGAGTACGTGTGGGATATTTCAGCCGTGGTGTTTCTCTCTTGGGGAGTGTCTCTTGAGAACCTCGTGTGGCTCGCGTGGGGATGGCCTGAAGCCAAATGTAAAAGGCTGGGCAATGAAAATACCGCTACCGTGACTGGGTTGTGGATCAGAGGCCTCTCGGATGCACGCTCGGCTCTGTTGGGAAGCCCATTGGTGAGCGTCTTGGAAACAGTGGGCCTCTGAGGGGCCGTTTGGGGGCCTCGTGGAAGTTATTTTGGACGACCTGGGGGCATCTTGGGGGCTTCTGTCTCGGTGGCCCCCTTGGGAAGCCTCTTGCATGCGTTTTGGGGTTGTCTTGTTGGCGCGTTGGGGGCCTCGGGGGGGGGCCTTGGGTGACTCGTGGGGGTCTCTTGGGGGCGTCTTGGGAGCCTCTTGGGGGAACCTTGGGGGCTTCTTGGGGGCGTCTTGGACACCACGTGGGGGTCTCTTGGGGGTGTCTTGGAGGCTCGTGGGACACGTGAGGGCCTCTTGCGACTCTTGGGGGCATCTCAGTGCCTTAGTGGTCTCTTGATGACGCAATTGGAGCGTCTTGGGGGCCTCGTACGAGCCTCTAGAGGCCTCTTGAGCGCCTCTTGTGGCTTCTTGGGGTCTCTTAAATGCCTCTTGAGAATCTCTTGAGCCTCTTGGGGCCCACCTTGAAGCCTTGGGAAGCGCATCTCGATGTTCCCTCATGGTTTAAGGATTGTCGTTCCTCGGGCTCCTCCTCCCCGGGGACGTTTTGAGAACTTCTTGGGCACTCTTGGAAGGACATTCGGCCGTCTTGTGAGCATCTTGGGCCGTATTGGAGCAGTCTCGGGCCGTCTCGGGGGCCTCCTGGACTGTCCTGGAGGTTCTTCGGACTCTCTGCGGCAGTGCCCAAGCGTTTGTTTGCCGTCTCGGAGGGGCCCAGGATCCCCGCCACCGGCATGGAGATCTCGAGTCTGCCCTTTAGGCCCCTGGCCCTGGACCTCGGGTATATGTATGTATACGTATATTTATACGTATCAACAACCATATAGCATGTAACAGATATATACATCTAAACACAGAGAAGAAAAGAGAGAGAGAGAGAGAGAAAAACAAAGAAAGAGAGAGAGAGAGAGACAGAGAGAAAGAGAGAGAGTTGGCGTCCCCCCGGCCTTGGATGTAGAAGGGCTCCATGGTTCGGGTGTCGACAGAAGTGCCCCGTGCACCGCCCAGGGAAGTCCACACCTACAGCTTCTGGAGTCCCAGAGATTCGATGTTTTCATCTTGCACAATCAGGCCTCTCGAAAGCCCTGGCCCTTGCCCCAGGGCCAGCTTCTCAGCCCGAGTCGGTTTGTGATGGCCCTGGGGCCCGGTCAGGGCCTCCAAAGACCGAAAGCGGCGAAAAAACGCCGTCGTATTTTTTCGAAACGTTGGATGCCTGGGGTTCTGCCTCAAGGCCGCCAGGCAGCGATGGATGCGGACGCCTTTCTGCTCTCTGAAGGCTGGCAGTTACCCGGATCCAAGAATCCACAAGGTCCAGGGGCACGACGCCAGGGCGGGGCTGAATGTGGACATGCAGTCGAGACGTGGCCACCAGAACGCAAGTCAAGAACATGAGCCCCTGCGCCGAAAGCCCAAGGCCCCGTGGAGGTACCAGATACCCAAAGACGAAGGGCACTCCCAGATTGCTAAGCCCAAACACGAAGAACACCAGGGCAGTTGCCCCACCCAAGGCTGGGGCCGTCCTCAACCCCCGCGACGGCTGCATTCCGGCGGCGGGTCCCTGGCGCAGGGTGTCCCCAGCTGGAGGGCCACTGGGGAGCCTAGGGCTTCCCACAAGACGAGGCCAGGGCTGGGACAGAGTCGGAACAAGACAAATCGGGGATCTCTGAGATCTGGCGGTTCCAGGGGATGTATCGGGCGCCGCGGCCGTCCCAAAGCGCTCAGGAACGCTCTGGGAGCGTTGCAGAACGCTCTGAAACGATGCATCCTGCTCCTGGCCCCGCGCGATCCCATCTGGGGCCATCTGGGGCCATCCCTGAGATGCGACGCCGCAAGAAAAACTCGCGACATCGTAAGAAATCATGAGGGGAAACGTTAGCGGGAGACTGGCTCGGGGGGGGGGGGGGAACTTGACATGGAATCGGCGATACATCGCCCATAAATCGACGATGAGCCCCCAATAACAAATCCGCACGTTCCTGGCGAGCTATCCGATGGCCGCTGTCGGGCCCCTATCGGTGATCAATGGGCGACTGGGGTCGATGCTTCCCCCCCGAGCCTGCCCCCCCTAAACGCTGCCCCGCCTCGTTGCGGCACTTCTCGGGCCAGAACCGGCCCGCGAGGGCCCTGGGGCCCGAGGGCCAGGCGAAAGCGCCTGGCGCGAAAAGATTGCGGCGAAGCCTGGATCTCAGGGATTCGGGCCCGCTGGGGCCTCCTGGGTCAGAAGACGGGAAGTCCGCATAAACGAAAACTGTCGCAAGTCCGCACGAACTTCTCGGCATGGCACTGGACCACCGCTCCATGGCGCGCGGAGCGCGCCGGCGCCAGAGGCGCCGCCAGGGAGGTCCAGCGCAGATCCAAAACATTCGCGCCGACCTCCGAAAGCGTAATTATGTTTATGCAGATGTCTCTTTTTCGTCTTGTAGCCCTTGGGGCACCCCGGGCTACAGCAGGTTCGCGTCGTGATGACCCGGGTGTTGGTTTCTTGCACCGCGTGGACCGTTCAACCTTGAACGAACGATAGGCAGCGTTGCGATAGCGCAGGTCTTTCCATGTTGGCCGCATCTGGGCCACATCGTACAGAACCTCGACCGGAGCCCTGGTCCCCATCTTTCTGCGGCATGTTTCAAGCCGGATCGATCCGTGAGGGTCTGGGGACCCGAAACTAGGCGAAAACGCCCATCGCGCAAAAAGTTGCAACGCCTGGACTTCGGGGATCAATCTTGAACGCCCGCGGCGAGGTCGCCGCCGCGTCGGCACCAAACGAACGCGCCGCCGCCGCCGCCGCAAACCTGAGGTGCAGGCGCACCCCTGCCGGCACCCAGTGATGGTCGACGCGGAGGTTCGCGGCCGCCGGCCCCGCTCGCCTGGCAGCGCCCGTCCGCGCCCGGCCACCTCACTGGGCAGGTGTAGAGGGGGAGGCAATGACCCAAGCATGCTCGCGCCGTGAAAAGAGAACGGCTCAAGTATCTGTTGACGAGTTTCGGCCTCCATGGGGCCCTGGCCAGGCCTCAGAACCGTCAAAAACGGCTCGGGATGAGAAACAGGCCCTGGAGCAAGGTTCTGATCACCTCTGGGCACCCAGCAACGATAGGCCCAACTCTCCGACGATGTGATATTTTCTCGACCCGTACGTCTTTCTTCGGTTTCCGCCTTTGGGGCGCGCTTTCGGACCCCAGGGCCATCAAATATGGATCTGGGTCGAAAAACTGGCCCAGGGGAAATGGTCGGGACTTCTGGCTCCGCGGATTTAAAGATCATGTCGGCGGATGTCTTGGGATAGGGGGGGGCGCTGAAGGGGGGAAACGAGTCGGCTCGGCTGCGCCAGGATGCACAGCAGCGACATGCAGCAGCGTCGGTTCGACGAATGCTGCGTATTCGACCAGGGGCCCCTTGCACACCCATCGGCTATGGGCGGCCTTCGGCGGTCTTCTGGCGGTCATCGGTGCGAAAACCAGATGGCTGCGTTTGACAGGGGGTCCTTTATCGACACACCAACGAGGAGGAACGATAGGGGGGAACTGGCCTTAGGGGGGGGGGGGGGGGAAACGTCAAGCTGGAATCGGCTTTACAATCGTCGATCGATCGGCGATGGGCCCCCGATAGCGAATCTGGACGTGCCTTGGCAGGGTGGGCTGTCGGGCGCCTATCGGCGATGAGTGAGCGACTGAGACTGGGGCTCGATGCACCCTGCTCTGAGCTTATCGGCCCTTGATGGTGTCAGGGTCAGGAGCGCCCGGGCGGGGACGGGCCCGGGTTGGATTATACGGGCTCATGCCAGATTGGGCCAGTTTTTGACCACGGACATACAGTCGGGCCTCGGACAATAGAACATCCCTCAAGAAGATGAGACCCTCCGCTGGTCAAACTGAAGACCATTCCAGGGTGCCCTCCCCCAGGATGCACAAGAACATCCGACAAGCACAAAGAACATTAGGGCACCCTCCCCGAACAGAGCTCGATCTCATACCTCGGGCCGACCGTTCCAGCGCCGATGCTGCATGCAACCTCCCTGGACCTTCATCCGAGCCCATCGGCGCCACCCCGACCGGTCTCACTCGGGCCGCGCCTGGCCGTGGCCACGAGGGGGCCCCCCGAAGCCCACAGAAGTCTTACGGGCTCCTCATCTCGAGGCGTCGCCCCCGCGTCGGGGCTAGGATGTTGAGCAGGAGGCAGAGGAGAAGGAGGAGCGAGATGGACGGAGGAGGGAGAGGGGGGCAGCGGGGAAGGGGCGCTTCAGAACTTTCACGACAGCGGCCCCAGGAGAACCAAGAGAGGGGGAGGGGGAGGGGGGCCGGAGGGGCACTCCCCGCGGGCTCGTCTCCCCTGGCCTCCTCGAGCCGCCGCTGTTGCCCTCGAGGTCGGATCGGATCGGAACGTGCGTCGGGTCCGGCCGCATCGGCGCGGAGTCGCAACCGCGCCAGGGCGCACAGCTGCGCCGCGCGAGCACCGGGCCGCACCGGCTCGCCGCAACATCGGGATCGACACGGACCGGGCCGCCCGAGATCGGCATCGGATCGGAGCCCGGGCACCGCGGCGCGCCCTCGGCTGTAGCATGGGGGCGGCGTCGGCCGGGCGGATACGGAGCCCTGGCAGGCCTGAGCCAAAACAGCTGCGACGGGAGCGGGGGGGTGCGGCCTCGATCGTCAGCGGGCTTGCCAGCAGCGGCGCTGTGCGAGACCCTGGGACCCCACCCCGACCGCCTCGCGTCGTGGACAAAATCACGGCGAAAGGTTTTGGCCCTTTTCGGCCTCTGCGGGGCCCTGGAAAAGATGATCACCCTCTGAAGAGGAACAGGGTGGGGGACTCCAAATGGGATCCGCGAGGACCCCTGGGCCCGACGACTGGGCAGGAACGCCCAACGTGAGGATATCGGGGAACTGCGGTCCTTCGAACCTCGAGCAAGAGTGGAGCCCTCGCAAATGGGTCCGAATAGATGGGATCGGAGGAACGCGCCGCATCGCCGATGCATCGGCACTGTCTTTGTAGAGAAAATAGGGGTACACAACGAGCCGCACCGCGGATATGATGCGTCGGCGATGCGGCGCGACCCTCCAACCCCCTCTTGCTTCGACTCCATTGTGGCGGCCTGGACCTCTTCGAGAGGAGCAGGAGGAATCGGAGTAGAAGCCCCCCCTTTTCCTCCTCCCCCTCCTCCTCCTCCGCCTCCTCCTCCTCGGGCAGGAGGAGCAAGGGAAAAAAACAGGAGGAAGGGGGAGAATGAGGAGGGAAGAGGATGGATGAGGGAGGAGGAGGGGTAGCTCCTAGGAGGAGGGAAGGGCGACGAGGTGACCTAGAACTGGACAAGTCTGCGCTCCCTTAGGGAGGGCAATGAGGGCCTGGGAGCTCCACGTCGAAATCCTGAATAGAGACCTCGGCTCAATATTTGAGAGCGGGGGGAGGACTAAAAACTACACGGCTCCCCCGAATCGTCTGCAGGCATAGAGGGAGAGGCGGCGGAAGAACAAGTAGGGGTGGGGACCAAAATGGTTTCACCGATATCTGCACAAGCTGAAGCAAGAAGGCTTAGAAGCAGCGGCAGCGAGCAAATTCGCCGGCCCAACGGGCCAGAGGCGTGCTAAGATCTCTGGTAACTGGCTAACAGTATTTCTAAATCGCGCAAGCGGGGCGGCCCCTGGGGGTCCCCGGACAAAAACTACCCTGGCAAGGTCCCTGGCGGTCCGACTCAGATGGTTTTCCTCCTGGGCGCCGCCCTCGAGGCCCTCTGCTGAGCCCCAAGAAGGGCCGCGAGGCCGCCAAGAGCCCCTCAAGATGGTTCAAGAGTGCTCCGAGATGCCACACGCTTTCAGCATATTCGCCATTTCAGCTTTCACAACGTCAAAAGCGGCCCAAGAGGCCCCCAAGATCGCCCCAAGACGGCCCAAGAGGCTCCCAAGAGGACCCAAAAACCGCCCCAGAGGGCCCCAAGACGACCCAAGAGGCCGCCAAGACAGCCCGAGGCCCCAAAGACGGCTCCAAGAGGGGGTCCAGACGGGAGACCCGCACGGATATTTCGAACCCTCGGCCCCGAGAGGCCCCAAGGAGCGCCCAAGAGGCCCCCGAATGGCTCCCAAGAGGCCTCAAGAGGCCCCCAAAAAGCCCTAAGATGCCCACACGAGGCCCTCAGGAGGCCCCCAAGAGGCCCCCAAGCGGCCCCAGGAGGCCCCCCAAATGCCCCCCCAAGCACGCAAGCAAGTGCCAGCGATGCTACGTTATGGGCCGGCGGGATGAGCGAAGCGATTCGTAAAATTTGCAGGCGATGCCGAGCAAGACCCTCGACATCGATCAGAAAAAAATACCCTGCGACGTACCCAACCCTTTTTACACATGTGGCGATTAAGTTCAGGACCGCTCAACGCAAGCCCCCCAGGGGGCGGCGAGGTCTCGATGTGATCCGCGTGGGACGTACCTCCGCTGGGCCTCCCAGGAGCCCACGAAAGTGGCGACAGTTGCGCAGAGCGCAGCCCGACGGCACAAGAGAAGCGGAGAGGGGAACACAGGAAACAGGAGAGGAGGAGGGGAGGAGAGGGGAGGAGGAGGAGGACAGGGCGACCACACTGCTCTACTCAAAACGAGTACCCAACACAAGAGGGTTGGGAACAAAACATACGGACTCATCTTGCGCCTCCCTCGCGCGAGCGCCGGCCTGCAAGAAAACGTTTTTCAGATGTCGTCGAAGACGGTCTGGTACTCGGCGGAAGTGTTGCCTCAGACGCTGAAGGCGTGGAGGAGCGGGTCGAAGGTGAAGAGGTCGCCTGCGCCCTGCTTGGCAGAGATGAGCTCGTAAACGTCGGAACCGGCGACAACTTGCAGCACACCTTTGTGGCCGTTGGCCCCGAGCTTGCAGGAGCTCTCCCATAGCTGGCTGCGCATGACGAGCTGCTTGACCGAGGCGTAGCGGCGTAGATGGAAGCGAACGCGCGCTTCTTCTGGCGAACATGAGAAGCCAGGTCACCGCAGATGCGAAGAGGGTGGGCGGACTGACTGGTGACAGAAGTCCTGCCGCGCGAGACCGAGAAAATTGGCCTTGCGCTGAAAGGCGTTGGCGGTGACAACGCACTTGAACTTGAGCTTGTAGACCTGGCGGATCCCGTGGCACTGAACTTCGACGCTCTCGTGCCCAAATTCGTCAGGGAACTTGTCCTTCAACTGCTTGCAGTGAGCTTGACGAGTTTTGAAAAGCAGTGGGCGCGGGAACGTACCGACGTATTTGATCCTGGGGTCGCCCTGCTCGCGGTCGAGGGTGAGGCCGATCGGGCCAACACGACGAGCTCTGTGACCAGCATGAGAGAAGCAACGGACACCTGCAGCTGAGCTCGTCGAAGAAGCCGAACTTGCAGTAGTACTGATTTGACCTTCAACTTTGCTAAGACGACCAGCTTGGGCCTGGACCTCGTTGCGAAGGGCAACGAGTTCGGCGCTCTGAGCCGTCATCTGACCTTGCAGCCCTGTTACGGTTGCTTGGACCTCACTTCAAACACTGGAGGCGTTGTCAGCGGACTGCGTTTCCATGAGGATAGCCGTCATGGTGCGGATCTCGTCCGCAGTTACCATAGCGGCCTGCTGGGTCACCGAATGAGCCAGGAAAAGGAGTGCGAGGAGGGAGGAGGAGGAGGAGGAGGAGGAGGAGGAGGAGGAGGAGGATAGAGGAGGGAGAATGAAGCCCGAGAGGGTGGAGGAGGAGGACGGAGGAGGAGGAGGAAGAGGGAAGAGGAGAGAGGAGGGAGGAGAAGGAGGAGGAGCCCACCCACCCCCCGCACGGTCGCCCGGCGGACTCGGCGGGCGACCGCCGCGGCGGGCCAGGGGCGGGCCCATCCGCTCGGCCCACGCGGCGCCATGGGGCCCCGGCAAGGGGAGGGGCTGGCCGCGCCTGCGGCCGGGCGCGCCGCCAGGGAGGCCTCCTTCTCCTCCTCCTCCCCCTCCTCCTCCTCCTCCTCCTCCTCCTCCTCCTCATCATCATCATCATCATCATCATCAACAACAACATCATCATCATCAGTATCACCATCACCATCATCATCATCATCATCATCATCATCATCATCATCATCATCATCATCATCATCATCATCATCATCATCATCATCTTCATCCTCAGCATCATCATCATCATCATCATCATCATCATCATCAGCATCATCATCATTATCAGCAACAACATCATCATCAGCATCACCATCATAATAATCATCAGCATCATCATCATCAGCATCATCAGCATCAGCATCACCATCCTCATCATCATCATCATCATCATCATCATCATCATCATCATCGACATCAGCATCGACATCATCATCGACATCATCATCAGCATCATCATCATCATCATCATCATCATCATCATCATCATCATCGTAATAAGCAGCATCATCATCATCAGCATCATCAGCATCATCCACCTCCTCATCCTCCTCCTGCTTATCAGCATCATCATCATCATCATCAGCAGCAGCAGCATCATAATCATCATCAGCATCATCAGCATCATCATCAGCATCCTTATCATCGGCATCATCATCAGCATCAGTATCATCATCATGGTCAACATCCTCCACCTATTCCTCCCCCCCATCATCATCATCAACAACATCATCATCATCATCATCATCATCCTCATCTTCATCCTCATCATCATCATCATCATCATCATCATCATCGGCATCATCATAGTCATCATCATCGTCATCATCGTCATCATCGTCATCATTGTCATTGTCATCAGCATCATCATCATCATTACCCTCCCCCTCCTCCTCCTCATCATCATCAGCATCATGCTCCTCCTCGTCCTCTTCCTCCTCCTCGTCATCATCCTCGTCATCATCATCAGACTCATCAGCAACAGCATCCTCACACTCGTCAACAGCAACAACATCATCCTCATTATCATCATCATCATCGTCATCCTTAACATGTGTATCCTCCTCATCATCATCAGCATCATCGTCATCATCAGCATGATCATCATCAACCTCATTATCATCATCCTCCTTATCATCATCAACATCATCCTCATCCTCATCATCATCCTCATCCTCATCCTTGCCATCATCATCATCATCATCAACAACATCATCATCACCATCAGCAGCAGAAGCATCATTGTCATTCTCGTCATCAGCATCCTCTGTATCTTCATCGTCATCATCATCAGTACCATCTAAAGCAACAACAACAACATCATCATCACCAGCAGTAGCATCATCATCAGCCTCATCCTTGACAGCTTCATCAGCAACAACATCATCATCAGTATCATCACCAGCATAAGTAATCATGATCATCATCATCAACATCATCACCATCATCATAATCCGCATCATCGCAATCATCATCATGATCAGAAATAAACAGTATGGTCAGAAACGTCTTCAGCATAATCATCATCAGCATCCACATCCTCATCATCATCCTCAGCATCATCATCATTCTCCTCCTCATCCTCGCCCGCCTCCTTCTCATCCTCACTATCATCATCATCAACATCATCATCAATATCCTCCCCCTCCTGCTCCTCCTCCTCCTCCTCCTCATCAGCATCATCCGTCTCCTCCTCATCATCACCATCACCAGCATCATCAGCATCCTCATCATCATCATCATCATCATCATCATCATCATCATCATCAGCATCATCATCATCATCATCATCATCCTGCTCCTCCTCCTCCTGCCCCCCCCCCCCTCCCCTCCTCATCATCAACACCGTCCGTCTCCTCCTCATCATCACCATCACCAGCATCAGCATCATCATCATCATCATCATCATCATCATCATCATCATCATCATCCTGCTCCTCCTCCTCCTCCCCCCCCTCCTCCTCCGCCCCCTCGCAGCATCATCATGATCATCATCATCATCATCATCATCATCATCATCAGCATCATCATCATTATAATCATTATTCTCCCCTAGTTCCTCAGCATCATCAGTAACATCAACGTCAGCATCAGCATCGTTTTCCTCATCATTATCTACATCCCCATCATCATCATCCATCATCATCCGTATCCTCCTCATCCGTGTCATCCTCATCATCCTCATCATCATCAACCTCATCATCCTCAGCATCGTCATCGTCATCGTCATCATCAGCAGCATCAGCATCCTCATCATGAGATTCATCATCATCATCATCATCATCATCATCATCAAAATCATCATTATCATCATCATCAGCATCATCATCATCATCTTCATCATCACCATCAGCATCAACATCACCATCTTCCTCCGCAGCATCACCATCATCATCGTTATCATCAGCAGCATCATCATCACCCTCAGCACGTCCATCATCAACATTAGCAACCTCATCATCACCCTCCTCATCATCAGCATCAGCATCATCCTCATCAGCACCAGCATCAAACATCATCACAATATACATCATCAGCATCAGCATCCGGATCAAAATCGCCCTCATCATCATCAACATCAGCATCATAATCATCATCAGCATCATCAGCATCGCCATGATTTGACCATCACCATCACCAGCAGCATCACCCTCATCACCAGCATCATCGTCATCGTCATCGTGAGCATCGGTGTCATCATCAAATCCGCATCACCGTCATCACCGTCATGATCAACATCATCATCATCATCAGCATCATCATCATCAGACTCCTCCACATCATGATCATCATCAGCAGCATGAGAATCACCATCACGAGCATCATAAACAGCATCATCATCCGCATCGCAATCGTCATCATAATCACCGTTATCGCAATCACCAACATTAATCATCTAATCAATATCACCATCGCCATCACAATGATCATCATCAACAACACCATCACCATCATCATCAGCGTCCTCATCATCATCCGCATTATCATCATCGACACTGTCATCCTCATCATCACCATCGTCAGCATCAGCATCGGCATCAGCATCATCATGGTCACCATCACCATCACCATCATCATCAGCAGCAGCATCATCACCATCGTCGTCGTCGTGATTATCATCATTAGCAGCATCATCACCAATATCAATCGACCTCATCCGTAGCACCTGCGTAAAAATTACCAGCAACATAATCATCAACAGCATCATCACCATCTCCATCTCCACTACCAACATCATCACCATCACCATCACCACCACCAACATCAGCATCGTCGGCGTCATCGTCATCAACATCAGAATCGTCAATCATATCAGTCAGCAGCATCATCATCAGCAGCATGAGTAGCATCAGCATCAGCAGCATCATCATCACAATCACCATCACCATCGGCATCACCATCCCTCTCAGCGTCAGCATCATCATCATCATCAGCAGCATGAGCAGCATTAGCGGCGTCATCATCATCCTCATCATCAGAAGCACAGTGACCATCAATATCAGTCACCACCATTGTCGACATCATCAAAATCACAATCAGCATCACCAAGTCCATCATCATCATCATCAGCATCATCACCACCATCATGATCATCACCGTCCCCACCATCAACATCAATCATCATCGACATCAGCACAAATAGCAGCGTCATGAGCATCAGCATCAGCATCATCAGCATCAGTATCAGAATCAGCATCATAGTCAGCATCACCATCATCATCACCACCACCACCATCATCACCACCAACCTAATCATCCTCATCATCACCATCATCATCATCAGCAGCATCATCCTCATCCTCATCATCATCATCAGCAGCAGCATCATCATCGGCATCGTCATCGTCATCGTCAGCATCGTCAGCATCATCGACATCATCATCGGCGTCATCATTGTCATCATCATCATCATCATCAGCAACAGCATCGTCACCATAATCATCATCATCATCATCAGCATCATCAGCATCATCAGCATCATCATCATCATCAACATCGCCATCCTCATTATTACCGTCCTCATCATGAGTATCCTCATCATCAGCAGCATCGTCATCATCATCTTTATCACTGTCATCAGCATCGCCATCAGCATCCTCATCCCCATCATCATCAGCAGTCTCATCATCGTCACCAGCATCATCATCGTCCTCATCATCGTCATCATCGCCACCCTCATCCTCAACCCCATCCTCATCATCATCATCAGCAGCATCAGCATCAGCAGCAGCATCATCATCATCATCCTATATCTCTCCTCTTCCTCCTCCTCCTCCTCCTCCACCTCTTTCTGATCCGCCTCCTCCTGATCATCCTCCTTCTCATCATCCTCATCCCCATCACCATCCTCATCCTCGTCATCATGCTTATCCTTCTCTGCTCTCCCTCCTCCTCCCCCACCCCCCTCCTCCTCCCCCCCCCGTCCCTCGGAAGGAATCGAGAGGTCTAGGGGCCCTGTATTGAATTACCCTGCGACTTACCCAACCAAATTGCATCTAGTGGCAAGAGCTCGTGGCCTACGTTTGCACGGACAGCGACGACGCAGGAATCGTCACTCGATGTGGAAGCTACACGGGATGCGCGCGCATTGCGCGACTCGCAGGACACAGACAGAAGGACGAGGAGTGCCTGGGCTCGAAGCGGAATGGGGGCGGGAACGAGGGGCGGGAGAAGGACGGAAGGGGACAAGTTAACAGTCAACGCGGCAGCAGCAGGGATACGGCGAAGGAGGAAAAGGACGACAACGAAAGAGGCAAGATGAGAAAGGAAGGTTGCGATTAGTTCTCCCAGTGGCACGCTGATAAGCAGCGCAGCCCGCGCCATGTCGCTCTGGTGCCCCGAACGATGAGCTGGTCATAACGAGTGCAAGAAGCGAGCGAGGCCCAGGGATTGCGCGATCGAATCTGAATCCGCGTAGGAGGTCACTCCGCTGGACCCCCAGCAGCCCTGGAAAGCGGCGACAGTTTCGCAAGTCTTAACACCCCGAATACGGCGCGGTCGAATCTGAGTCCGCGTAGGACGTCACGCCGCTAGACGCCCCAGCAGCCCTCAGAAGCGGCAACGGGTTCGCAATTCGCAGGCCCCCAATGATGGCGCGGAATTATCTGAAGCCGAGCAGCCCTCGAAAATGGCGACGCATTCGCAGTTCGCAGCCCCCCAGGGATGGCGCGGTCTTATCTGAATCCGCGGAGGACATCACCCCGCTGAACCCCCCAGCAGCCTCGAAGGTGGCGACAGATTCGCAGTTCGCAGCCCCCCCCAAAGATGGCGAGACCGACTGTGAATCCGCGTAGAACGTCACTCCGCTGCCCCTCTCGGCAGCTCTCGAAAGTGGCGACAGTTTCGCGTTTCGCGCCAGCGCCCCCACCCCAAGAGATGGCGCGGTCTAAACTGAATCCGCGTAGACGTCACGCCGCTAGACCCCCCCCCACACGACAGCCCTCGAAAGTGGCGACAGATTCGCAATTCGCAGCCCCCTCAGTCCTTCTTCGACTGACGCAGCCCAAGGTCCAGCAGTCAAGGTACATCGTATTCACAGCCCACTTCATGAGATGGATGGCCAGGATGACCTTACGAAGCAGGCGGAGAGCGGAAACGAGTTAGAAGGGAATGGGAAGGAGAAAGGGAGGAGAATGTGAAGGATTATGAAACAGCGCGCACGTTGCACTTCAGAGAACCTCATACGGAAAAGGGAGCAGCGTCCGGGACCTCAGGTGACGTCACGCTCGCAGCCATTGCGGGCCCCATGGACCAGAAGTTGGAACCGTTCTTGAAGACAGTGGGCAACATGGCAAAGGATGTTACGCAGGTCAAGCTTGACATGCAGAGCGTGCAGGCTGATATGGCTAGGATCGACAACGCCCTGGGCCACATGGACACAAAGTTCGGGACCATCGACGCTGAGCTTTCTGCGCATAAGGCTCAACTCGCAGAACTGACCACAGCCATATCGGGAAGGGCTTCCAGGGCAAGCTCCGTTTCAGGGGATGGGGCAACGCTCGAAGCCGAACTTCGTGCGAAGGTCATCGACCTCGAGGGCAAGATCGGTAAGCTTTCCCTGGGCCCCTTCAAGGCGGTTTTCGGGGGTCTTGGCACTACGTGGTCGGAGGAGGATGCGGCCAAGTGGCTGCGGGACGCCCTTTTGTCCCATCAGGGCCCTGGGGCCAGCAACATTTACGCCAAAGGTAACTTTACGGGACTTCTATTTGCAGAGTTTCCTTCGGCTTCTGAGCGCGACAAAGCCATCCAGAAAATACGGCTTTCAAGGCACACATGGGATGGGCAGACAGTTTGGGCAAAGGTCGATTTATCTTTGGAGGACCGTTTGCCAGAGTCCTTCGCGTCCTTCGTAAAAGAGATCCTTCTGGAGTGGGGCTGGGCCAAGAACGCTGTGTACGTGGACCGTGACAGTGGAACCCTTTACCTTGGTAAAGATAAGGTGTTGTCCTCTTATGTCTCTGGGGGCAAGTTCGAAGTCGATTTTGGGGAAGGGTGGAAGGAGTGCCTGCAAACCCCTGAGATGGAGGAGATGTTCAACAAGTTCCAGAAAAAGCTGACGAGCAAGCTCAACTTGAAGGGCAAGGGCAAGGGATCAGAGAAGGGTAAGAGCAAGCACGCTGGCTCATCTTAGGGACAGCACCGGCCGAACAGACAGAGGAGCGATAAAGAATTCAATGCTACTGCAAATGCAAATTGTTCATTCGATGGGTTGTCTTTTTCAGGATTTACTGTATTTTGCAAGAACGTCCACATACTCAACAAAGAAAGGCTGGGTCAAATGTTGGGGGAACTCGTTGACGTCAATTGGGATATTCTCTGCCTGAGCGAGACCCGCGCTGCCGATACCGATGCTGATTTGGACAGCGGCCACCGGTTGATCGCAGAGTCAGGGGCAAGAAGCAAGCTGGCGTAGCCTTGTGTGTTCATGCACGCCACGCCCGGGGCGTACAGAGACATCGGTCTCATTTCGGTCGCGTCCTGGCCGTCGATATGAACATCAACGGAACTCTGTACACCATCGTGGTTGTGTATTTGCCTCACGCTGGATATTCTTTGGAAGATCTTTTGGACGCGTACGACGCTGTGAATACAGAGCTTGTCAACTCGAGGCTCGCAGGTAGAAGGCTTCTTATAGCTGGCGATTTCAACACGCAATACGACATAGGAAAAAGGGGAGCACTGCTTCAAGAATTCTGCGGCGAGCACGGGCTGATTCCAGGGAACGTTTACGACACATTTAACGACAGTGCTTCTGAACACTGGACGTTCTGTAGCTCTTTGGGTTTCAAGCGCCGCTTGGATTACATACTGTACGACTCCTGCTTAACATGTTCCTCCTGCCGTCCAGTCGACGAGTTTGACATGGGATCAGACCATCGTGCAGTGAAAGCTATTTTCTTGGTTCCTCGGGGGCTCACGCGGCAACGTCAGCGTCACCTGAAGTCCACTTGGAAGCCGAATGCCGGGCAAGATGGCACAGATTCTGTTTATGAGGATTGCGTCAGACAGCATCTTGGGCGCACGGGCGGATCGGATTTGAACAGCATTGATTTGATCTTGACACAGGCGGCTGAAGAAAGCAGTCGCCCTCGGGAGCAACAACTACGGAAGCCATGGGAAGAAGAGGTGCTACGAGAGTTGCACCGCAAACGACAACTGACCAAGGACAAATCGAAAAGAGCACGGCTCTCCAAGCAGATCGGCAGAGAACATCGAAAATTGTCGCGGCAATATTGTGACAAGCGTGCAGAAGAACATCTGCAGAAGTTCGTAGGCCTGAAGAACTTGCCGGATGTGCACAGATCCCCAACGATGCCAACCAAGAGCTGCCCTGTAGCGAGCGGGGTTTTCAAGGCATCTTTGGAAGACGTGTTCGGTCCTGGCTGTGCGTCCAGCCGCGCGCAGTGGGAGCAAGATTTCTGCAACAAAGGGCCGTATGACATCCCTCAGTTTTCACTTGACGAGCTTCACCGCGCTTTCAAGAAAATGAAGAAAGGCAAGTGCGCCGACCAGAGCGGTGTAACTTTGGAGATGTTTCTGCACGGTGGGCCTCTTTTGCACGACGTCCTCCTGGAAGGGCTTAACTCGTTGCTCGCTTCTGGGGTACTTGAACCGTCTTGGCGGGAAACGGTTTTCCTCATGCTGCCAAAATCAGGGACACGATCTGATCCGAAGAACTGGAGGCCAATTGCGATACTCAAGATCACATATAAGATTTTCTCCAGATTCAGACCGTCAACAGCATGAAGACCAAGTCGGTTTTCGACCGAACCGATCCGTCGACGACGCGTTCGTGGTTTTGGAAGAGATCTGCACGAAGAAGTGGGGGTCCGGAAAGCCTTTGTGGATCGTCAATTTGGATCTGACTAAAGCATTCGACCGGATCGAACATCCGATGCTGTCTGCCGCTCTGCGAGAACAGGGCGTTACTCACGAATACTTACGTTTGTTAGCAGACGTGTATGTGAACCAGACAGGCCAGGTGCAGAACAGCGAAATGTTTGACATTACTCGCGGCGTCAAACAAGGCGACGTGTTGTCCTCCTTGCTGTTTAACGCTGGGCATGAGCAGGCCGTGCGTACCTTCAAGCTGAAACGTCCCAGCTGCGGTGTGCGAGTTGGCCCCGGCGAGCTCCTGAGCAAGATCAGGTACGCAGACGATATTTTGTTGTACGCCGGGTCATCAGAAGAGGCAGTGCGGATGCTCGCCACGCTGTCCGCAGAACTGGGGGAGCAAGGCCTCAGCTTGAATGCAACCAAAACGAGGATTGTCACGAACGACCCGAATGTATCCCACTCCGAGGTTCCAATGGTGGTGCCGTGTGGCGACATGTCGTTACCTGTCATGACGTGCCGTGACTTTCACAAGTACCTCGGCCGGAAGTTCAGCGGCAATCTGACCCGCCGTGCGGACTCTCATCTCGACTTCAGATGGGAGTGCGCTTGGGGTCGCTTCCACGCGGACAAGCAGACGTTTACCAATACTAACATATTGCTGCGCCTTCGGCTGAAGTTGTTCGAATCTGTGATCACTCCTACAGCTGTGTACGGCATGGCTTCTGTGGGCATGACCAGCAGACATCGCTCGCGGTTGGCAGCCGCTCGAAACAAGATGCTTCAGAGAATTGTGGGGTTCTCGAAGCTGGAGCAAGAGAGTTGGGAGGATTCGGGCAGGCGTTTCAAACGCAAGATGGAGCGGGAAATGAATATGTTCGCTGTCTCTGAATGGACCGAAGCAGTAGATAGAGTTCGATGGCGGTTGATGTCGCGTCTGTGCGTTCCTGGCTCGTGGCCGGCAGTTGTCATGCGATGGACACCTGACGGCCCCAGACGCCGGGGCTGACCCAGGACAAGGTGGACTGATTCTATGCGCAAGTTTTTGTCGTCGAAAGGATTATTGTTGCAGGAAGCATTGCGACAAGGCAAGAGTTTTCCATGGAATGCTCTCGAGGATGAGCATTTGCAGTTTATGACCAATAGCCACACGTAATGCGTGACGTGTGGGGGGGGTGTATTTGCCGTGCATGTGCAGTAGTCATTTGTATGTCCGCCTTATTTTTGGGGCGAGCCGCTCCCCGAGCTGCTCGGTCGGACGTTGCGTTGCGTTGCGTCAGTGATATCGCGGTCTAATCTGGACCCGTGTTGGACGTTGGACGGCACTCTGATGGATCCCCCTGCAGCCCTCGAACTTGGCGACAAGTTCACAGTTCGCAGCCCCCAGGGATGGCGAGATCGAAACCGAGTCTGCGCAGGACGCCACTCAGCCGGAACCACCCCCCTCCCAGAAGCACTCCGATGTGCTGACAGCGTCGCAGTTAGGACCCCCCCAAGATATAACAAGGTCTACTCCGAATCTGCATAGGACGTTACTCGGCTGGACACCCCCATAGCCCTCGAAAGTGGCGACAGTTCCGCAGATCGCAGTCTCCCAGGGAATGCGAGGCATCATCTGAGGATGCGTATGACGTCACCTCGAACGTGGCGACAGTTGGACTGGCAAGGTCGAACCTAACCCTGCGTAGCGCGCCACTCCGCTGGACCCTCCAGCAACCCTCGAAAGCGGCGACAGTTTCGCAAGTCGCAGCCCCTTGGGGATGGCGAGGTCTAATCGGAACCTGCGCAGCGCGTCACCCCGTTGGACCCCCCCCCCACAGCCCTGGGAATAAAATGGAAGTGCAACGAGCGAGCGTGAAGCGCGAGTGGGGAGGTAGGAGGGAGGAGAGGAGGGGATGAGCAACAAGGCAGGAGGCAGGGGAAGGGGGCGGGCGGAGGGAGGGAGGGAGTAGAGAGCAGGGAGGAGGGAGCATCAGGAGGGTCCCCACGGGCGAGAAGAAACACAATGACGACGAGGGCAAAGACGACGACGTCGACACGCGGAAGGCAGCGACGACGGCGGCAAAGACGCCAAACGACGACGACCAAAGATGACGATGACGACGAAGATTGGCGGCGCGCACAAGGGGGTGGTGCGGGGGGGGGGGGCGGCCTTAAGGAGGCAGGGGTGCTTCTAATAAGGCAGGTGGCTCCTTGACGACGACCAAACACGACGACGAAGAAATGACGAAGCGACGATGACGGCGTTGGCGACGCCTGGCGTCGGGCCCGGGGGAGCCGGGCGCGGCGGTGGCGGAGCCCAGCCGCCCCATGGCCTGGCGCAGCGTCTCCTCCGCCAGGGACAGCCTCCGTCGCGAGCGGCCCGCCGCAGCCGCCGAGGGCCGCGGTGGTCGTCGACGCCGCCGCCGCCAAGGGTCGTCGTCGGAGCCGCCGCGTCGACGACGGCGTCGTCGACCCAGAGTCGCCGTCGTCGCCGTCGACGCGGGCCCAGGAGCTCTCGGTCCCACTGGTCCAGGACGGTCGTTCCTTGCAGGACCCGACCTCGGATCCGGCTATGGCCAACAGGGCCTCCTCCCAGGAGCCGAAACAAGACAGAAGAGTTGACAAAGCATTGAATCCCGCGACCATAAGCGCCTCCTCCTGGGCGCCGCCCACATGGCAGTACTAAAAAGGCAAACAACAAACATCCTAGCGAAGGACCCAATCATATGTGATTGTGACTATTGCAAGGCAGGTGGGACGAAGGAGTGGGAGCTCCTCATGGGGCCACGACACGGGTGACGGTATGCCGACATGGGCGGAAGGGGGCGCATGTGGACACCGCCGCCGAGGCCTTCGGTGGAGTTCCACATGGGGTCACGAAACGCTGTACTGGGTGGCGGGGGACACATGTGATCACACCCGCGGTACTGAGCGGCGCCGGACGCATGTGATCACAGCCACTGGGGCCTTCCGTGGAGCTCCCTGTGGGGCCAAGAAACGCCGTATTGGGTGGCGGGGGCTGCATGTGATCGCAGACGCTGGCTGGGGCCTTCGGTGGAGCTCCCTATGGGGCCACGAAACGCCGTACTGGGTGGCGGGGGACACATGTGAACACAGCCACTGGAGCCTTCGGTGGAGCGCCCTATGGAGCCACGAAACGCCGTACTGGGTGGCGGGGGACGAATGTGATCACAGCCTCTGGGGCCTTCGGTGGAGCTCCCTGCGAGGCCACGAAACGCCGTACTGGGTGGCGGAGGGCGCATGTGATCACAGCCACTGGGGCCTTCGGTGGAGCTCCCTATGGGGCCACGAAACGCAGTACTGGGTGGCGGGGGAAACATGTGAACACAGCCACTGGAGCCTTCGGTGGAGGGCCCTATGGGGCCACGAAACGCCCTACTTGTGGGTGTCGGGGGGCGCATGTGGTCGCCGCCATTGGGGCCTTCGGTGGAGCTCCCTGCGGGGCCACGAAACGCCCTACTGGTGGGTTGCGGGGGGCGCATGTGATCACAGCCACTGGGGCCGTCTGTGGAGCTCCCTACGGGGTCACGAAGCGCCGTACTGGGTGGCGGGGAAACCTTGTGATCACAGCCATTGTGGCCTGCGGTTGAGCCCCAGATGGGGCCACGAAACGCAGTACTGGGTGGCGCGGGAAGCGTGTGATCACAGCCACTGGGGCCGTCGGTGGCATGGGGCCACGAAACGCCGCACTGGGTGGCGGGGGGCACATGTGATCGCAACCATTGTGGCCTTCGGTGGGGCTCCCTATGGGGCCACGAAACGCCGTACTGGTGTCGAGGGTCGCATGTGATCACACCCAGTGGTGCTTTCGGTGGAGCTCTCTATGGGGCCACGAAACGCCGTATTGGGTGGCAGGAAACGCATGTGCTCACAGCCGCTGGGGCCTTCGGTGGAGCTCCCCATGAGGCCACGAAACGCCGTACTGGGTGGCGGAGGACGCATGTGATCACAACCACTGGGGCCCTTCGGTGGAGCCCCTATGGGGCCACGAAACGCCGTACTGGGTGCGCTTAAACAGTGGACATGCAGAGGGCAGAGGAAAGGGTGGGAGGAGGAGGGGGCGGAGGAAGGAGGGGAGAGGAGAGAAGAGGAGTGGAGAGGAGAGGAGAGGAGAGGAGAGGAGACGCGGAGCGCTGCCTCTTCAAACCGAGGACCCAACACCACAGGATGGTTGGGAAATTAACCTGGCGAAGAACCCATCAGTCTCCGACTTTCTTAATAAGCGTGGGGGGGGCGTCACCCCCGCCGACAGCCCCACGTCGACCCCGTCGCGGGCAGCCATCGCGCGACGAAGGCGCTCCGACCCCCGTCGCGGCGCGACGACGAGGCGAGGTTGACCCCCGTCGGAGGGGGGACCCCCCACGCTTATTAAGAAGCCCAGAGCCTGCAGTTGTGAATACCGCAGTTGTGGGTATACTCTTCGGTGGAGCCCCCGATGGGCCACGAAACGTTGTACTGGGTGGGAGAGGCGCGAACTGCGCTACAGGGTTCTTCGGTGGAGCTCCCTATGGCCCCACGAAACGCTGTACCGGGCGGGGGTGACGCACGCGAACTGCGCCACTGGGACGTTCGGTGGAGCTCCCTATGGTGCCACGAAATGCTGTACTGGCTGGGGGGGACGCATTCGAACTGCGCCACTGGGACCTTCGATGGAGCTCCCGATGGGGGCCGTGAAACGCTGTATGGGTGGGGGAGACGCATGCGAACTGCGCCACTGAGACCATCGGTGGAGACCACGAAACGCAGTCCTGGGTGGGGGAGGCGCATGCGAACTGCGCCACTGGGACCTTCGGTGGAGCTCCCTCTGCGGCCACGAAACGCTGTCCTGGGCGGGGGGACGCATGTGGACGGTGGCACTGGGGTTTTCGGTGGAGCTCCCTATGGCGCCACAGACGCATGCGAACTGCGCCACTGGAGCATTCGGTGGAGCTCCCTACGGGGCCACGAAACGCTGTACTGGGCGGGAGAGACGCATGCGAACTGCACCACTGGGACCTTCGATGGGGCTGCCGATGGGGCCACGAAGCGCTGTACTGGGTGGGGACGGCGCATGCGAACTGCGCCACTGGGACCTTCGGTGGAGCTCCCTTTGGTGCCACGAAATGCTGTACTGGCTGGGGGAGACGCATTCGAACTGAGCCACTTGGACCTTCGGTGGAGCTCCCCCTGGGGCCACGATACGCCGTAATGGGTGGGGGAGACGCATGCGAACTGTGCCACCGGGCCCTTCGGTGGAGCTCCCTGTGGGGGCACGAAACGTGAGAGGGTCGTGCCGAAGCTGATGGCGATGATGGTGATGACGACGGCGATGATGATGATGATGATGATGATGATGATGATGATGATGATGATGATGATGATGATCATGATGATCATGATGATGATGATGATGATGATGATGATGATGATGATGATGATGATGATGATGATGATGATGATGATGATGATGATGATGACGGTGACGACGACGGCCATGATGAGCAACAACATAAGAGGGCAAACCCTGTGATGATTCATAAATTCAGCATGCAGGAAAAGGAAGAGCTACTGGGGACCCCAGCGAAGCTCATGCCAACTTCCCGAGAGGCCCTTGGCCAGGTCGCGATCGGTTCGATCGAGACTCCTGATCTGTTGCCAGGAGAGTTTAGGATATTCACCACTCTGGATTGCTCGGAAGCACACAGGGGCACGGTGAGCGAGGTGATCAATTGCGGCAGCTCTCGACCTGTAGCGTTTGGAGCAAACGGGGCAGGAGGGCCCTGAAACGTAATCACGGGCGGGATTGCTGCACCCGTGGACCCTATGCCTGTGGGAGAGCAAGCCCCCAGAAGTGGCACAGCAGCGGCGCCTCTCAGCCGGGCAATCTGGACAGGCCCAAGGGGCTTGAGGGGGCGGCTCGTGAGATCTTGCATCAAAGTACTCGGGCACGCTAGCACGTGTGAGCATGCGCGTGCACTCTGGAAGCATGTGGGCGAGCGCTCGCTTGAAGGCAAAGGGGGAGCAGAAGAGGGAGAGCCAAGGACCAGGCTGTTTTCCTGGGTCGGGCAGACTCTGGAGGTCCAGGCAAGCCTCACGCGCCCAGCGGAGGTCGGCCTGCAGCGCCGCAGCCGCCCGGGTGCCGGGCTGGCAGCGCAGAGCTTTCAGGAGGCTGGGACCAGCAGCGAAAGAGGCCGCCGCAGTCTGCAACCAGCGCTGCAAGAGCAGGAGGTCCGCGGGGAGCTCCTGCAACTCCTTGAGCACCAAAGCGTCGGTGCCGTGCCCTGTGGGCTGATACCGGCAACGCCCTGCGAGCTGACGCAGGACGCGAAGGCGAGCAGCGCGCAGGCGGTGGACAGCGTCCTCAGACGGGTCGAGCCAGACCTCCGTGCCGGAGAGCAGCTTGGAGAAGCACAACGACTTGGCCATCGACAGCCTCACAAATAAAGATACATCGTACTTACCGTACACACGATGAGCCAACGCATAGTCAGCCTGCAGCGCCGAGCTCGCCTTCACCTTAGCGCCGTGCACGTAGGAGCCATTGACATGTATAGTAATGCCAACGTGCTTATACCTGGGCGAGATCATGATGCGGCGTTGGCCACAAAAGGTCGGAAGCATGAAGCACTTCTTGGCAGGAACATAAAGCGGAGCCTTGGCCTTGCGCGACCCTTTTTTCCAACCAAGGATAATGAGACTTCCGTCTTCCAAGGAGCAAGATTGCAAACCAGCCCACACTCTTGGGAAGAGGCAATAGTGATGGCGAGCATATCCTTAGCTTTGATGATCAGTTTGCACGGGCAGGCGTCCGCAAGGAGCCAGACCATATCATCCACATAAGAGATATCCGCCGACCCCTTGGGGATCATCGGCGTGTGAGATGCTTCCCCCTCCCCAAACCCCTCCCCCGGGAGCCCGGTCCGGTCGATTTGGAGGGGGGGGGGGGTCCGGGACGAGCGCAGCACGGCCGGGACGAGCGCAGCACGGCCGGGACGAGCGCAGCACGGCCGGGACGAGCGGTTCACGGGGCTTTTCCAGGCCCAAGAGGGCCTCAAGACGGGCCAAGAAGCCCCCAAGAGGCCTCCAAGACGGCCCACGAAGGCCCCGAGACGCCAAACGACCGCTCCAAGACGCCCAAGATGGCCCCAAGACGGGCCAAGAGGTCTCCAAAACGGCCCCCGAGGTCCCAAACAAGCCTCCCAAGAGGACCCCAAGAGTCTAAAATTGTTGATTTTCCATCGTGTTTTTCGATGTGTTTTGTTTTTCCGCCTTTTCGGCTTCCCGACGCTCCAAGACGGCCAAAGAGGACCCCAAGAAAGCCCCAAGATGGCCCAAGAGGCCCCCAAGACGGCCTCCAGACGGCC